TCTTCTGAATTTTTAAAGCCCTCCAGAGTCAAAAGTTGAGGAGAAATTGCTTACTACGAATGCTTACCCTCAAATGCAGTCATAAATCTGTTTGCTTATCTGCTCAACGAGCTGAGTTGCGGGTTCCTTGCAATTTACGTTCCGGTTTTCCACGTCAGTTAACTAACGACAAAGACAAATGCGCTTTAAAACAGGCCACGAATCTTACTTTACTTTAAACAAGGACTATGTTGTAATTTTCATTGTTTTATACTGAAATGTTGGCATAATGAATCGGATGTTGATATTAACTGTGGTATCACATGAAATCAATCTAAAAATAAGCAATGAATCCATGGGACTGATTGTAATGCCCTAGAGGTTTCCCTATATGTTTTGTTAGAAAAATGCGTTTTAAATTTATTAATTTGCAATGATATTCATAATTTAAAACTAAATTAAAAATAAAGAAAATGATTTTAAAAAAATTTTATTAAAGCTGTTCGCCATTTAATATTTATCCTTTTGTAGCCACGTCAAAAATGAGAAAAGGATTTGAAATTTAATGAACTTTTGTGCGACCTTTTTGCTTTTTTTTCTTACGCACGCTTGGCTGCACATAAAAGAGCTGCAAAAAAAAAAGAAGAGAAGAAAATTTGCGTGGCTCATTTGCAGAAGACATTCTTCAAGGGCAATATATACACGTATATGTAAAAATAAATTTTCTTATGTTTATTTTGATGTGTGGCGGCAAAAGGGCGTGAAATACGCCCAAAAGAAGGACCAAAAAGGAGAAAAAAGAGCAGAGGAGAGCAGAGGAGAGCAGAGGAGAAGAGGAAGGGGGGATGGGCACTTTGCATAAAGTGTCATGCGTGAGCCGAAAAGGATCCGGCTAAGGTTTTATGTTAAATTGAAAGACAGACCCAAAAAGCTCGACTCGATTTCAATGCCAAAAAGCAACTAAAACCTGTGACACTCACACGCACATACACACACACATACAAGTTACGCCCACGCACACACACGCATTGGCACACGCATTTTGCATAAATTATGCGGTTGTCTGTGGGTGTGGGCAGAGCTCAGAATGCATGACCCGTTGTCGTTTTTGCACTCAGGAAAATAATTAGGGCTAATTATGATTAATTGTTTTTTTAAAGTTATTGTTGTTTTAAATAAATAACATATGGCATATTAAATTTACAGTTATAATGCTCTCTACAAACAATTATTTATTGATTATCAAGAATAAAAATATACAAACGGTTTGGACTCATCACTCCGACTGGTTAAAGATTTACAATCATGAACATTTTCTTTATAATTTTTCTAACTATTTGAGAAAAGTCTCTTTTGTTTAAAGACTGAGATTAAATAGACTGAGATTATATCATGATATTTTTTCCGAGTGCATCGCCTCCTGCATTGAATCGCCATGGCAACAGGAATCGGGCTCTAAATAATTTAGCAACCAGAGCGGACAATAAAATTCGAGCCCAAATGTCATAGGCATGCATTTGCATATGATTTAGCCCGGGCCGGGAACAGGATCCGTATCCGAATCGGAATCAGGATCCGAATCAAAATCGGAGGCAGGAGTAGGCGGGAACATGGCTATCAGTGGAGAGCGGCATGCAACTGCAGTGGCAAGCACACTTCCCAGTCCAAAAACCCTTTTGTGAAATTGATGCCAGCGGCAAATCATCTTTGTCCCTGTGTGTTTGCCTGTGCTGTGCGCAAGGATACATTTATAGCATCATTTGTAAATGTTCACTAGATATACATACAAACACACACCCGAACATGGGCTCAAAGTGCGTTACATGCAAATGTGGGTGTGCAATTTGTATGGAATATTGCATTGGCAACTTTCGAACTGCGGCTGCTCGTGTGTAATTTGTTTAGAAATTATATTTGATGATTTGCAAATTTGTTCACATTGCTGGGTAGCTGGAATCGGGGGAATGGGGGAATGGGGATCGCAATTGCTTGGAGTCCTTCCATTGTCCTGGCACTTTAACCTGCAGGAGTGTTCATTAGCCCGGTCAGCAGATGTTGCCATTCAGCAGGAGCAGACAACGGCAGCCAAAAGGCAAATTGCAGGAAAACTCTGAAATATAATGCAATTAAAGCGCTGGTGTTTGTGCGTGTGTATTTACGCTTGTGGTCGTGTTGATCCCTTTAAACAATAAACTATTTACGCACACACCCACGACTGGCAGCCATGGAAACTGTGGCGTCTGTGGGTAAAAACGATTTGTATTAATTGTTAAATTGATATCCGGACTAATTGCGATTATATGTGGTGTCAATAAATTGGTGAGTTAAAGTCTCTTCCTTAAAGCTTTTCATTTCATCGATATGAATTAGAGTACATTAGTAAGGTTTAAAATCATGAGACTGCACCACGCTCTTAAGAAATACAAAATAATTTCAGAAATACAAACAATCTTTACAACTAAGAAGTATACTCTTTCTTAAAGTAATCTTTGGTTTTAAGTGTCAGTTAAGGGAAAAAAAATCTAGAAAAGATAACAAAACATACTATAGTGGCCACACAAAAAAAAACCTAATCAAAAATATACAATAGGTTTTATTTTTAGCTCATTGATGAATTAATATACAGATGAAAAAGACCAAATGTTCGCAAAAATAAAAATAAAAAAGAAACAAACCAAAATTAAACATTGATAGCAATTAAAATTTAATATAGCTTATGTAAAACATGCAGATTGGGGGCTTTGCTCTAATGATTCTGTATATTGGTTGCCAAGGAAATGCTCAGCCCTCTTGTCTCATGTTCACTATCTCTGCTTATGGAAATATGCTGTTCGTTTGGTTTCAGTTGGGCTTGGAGTCGACGAAGCATCGCATGAACAGTAGAATAACAATATGCCTTGCATTTATTTTTAATATTCTGACTAGAAGGTTTCTGTACTAATTATGAAACCTGCTTTGCAAAGCAAAATACGTTTCGTAATTTTGCAGAGGCAAAATTCGTTTCGTAATTGGTTCAGAAATCTTGAATCAGAATAGGTAAAATATATGCGATGCATGTTATTAGGTTTTCTTTTGCTGTACTGTTGCTAAAGTAAGTGTCCCCCTAAATGCCTTTGTTCGGATTTTATTTTGCACATTTATAAGATCTGCAGGATCAAAAACTATTGGCTGATATAGTTTCTTCCCATCAAGTTTATAATTGTGCAAGATTGACAAATCTTAGAACCAACTAATCGGAACAAAAATATGTAGACCACACCAAGGTAAGCTGATTAAATATTAATTATATAAAATCTATATTAATTCTAACTTGTTTTAATCGAAATCCTAATTAAAAGGCTGATTTGGAAACGGACACATATTTGGAATTCTGCATAGTTTATATTTTGATAAATTTTATTTAGAATATTAATTTTAGTACTGCACTAAACAAACGCTTAATTACATTTTAATTTATTCGTTGATATCAGATTATTTAATAAATAGATATACGCTTTAAAATACTCGGATAATTAGAATAATTGATTTGAATAATTAAAAACATATATAGATTGAATCCAAATAAAAGCAGAAAGAAAGTATGTGTACATGTTAATTTTCTAACAAAGTTTATTGCTCTTTTGTTAATAATAATAATAAATATTATTTTGGCCTAATTTAAACCACAATTTCTGCGGTTCAAAATACACATACACATTTTTACACATTTGTGAAATTAATCAATAAATGCAAGCAGAGGACATTTTGGCAGCATCTTTATTTCTCGTTGATTTCATAGCCTATACTCTGTATCCTAATTTATTCTCTCAAAGGATACCAACACCTCCTACACATACCTATAGAATCGATGCATTAACATAGAACACGAATTTATGCAGCATGTCAGGTCAGAAATGTGTAGACATTTAGGATGCTTTGATGGGATGGTGCCCCAACTTTTGCTCCTAATTTCGCCGACATACGATGATACGAAAAATTCCGGTCTGTCTGCATATTTGATACTTTGATCATTGGAGGCGGGCGGAGAAGGAGGGGGCTGGTTTGGACAAACAAGAAAAGTGTAAGCGACGATGCCAATCAGTTGGTCCACAACAGCACACAGCAGCCACCTCATCATCCGATGCCCTGTCCTTTGGCAATGCTAATGTCCAGCACATAAGCGTTGTGATGTCGAGGTGACCGTCGACTCGCCCTCATCCAGAGTCTCATCTCCAGTTTCGCATGCAGTAATCTAATCATCATTGGGAGCATCATCCGCATACACATTCTCGTGTCCAGTGCAACATATTGACCGGCACTTGTTTGCTTTTTTATTATTGCTTTTATCCCCCCCGAATCTGTCCAATCTTTGGCTGCTGGTCTACCCATCTGTGGATAAATTTATGCACATTATTTGTCCTGCTTGGCATGTCGCGTTGATTTTTGCGCAATCCTTTTGCACATTTCCAAATGCCATTTGTATGCAAACTAACTGCGCTTTATGCCTCCATGGTCATCATGCCATCCTCATCCTCATCCTCATCCTCATCCCAATCCTGGTGCCAATCCTCATGCAGCTCCTCATCATGACGATGATTTTGGACTTCAGCTGCCAAAGCAAGACATCAAAATGCACAAGGGTAAGAGAGAGTGCCAGGGAAATGGGGTAGAATGAAAGGAGGTGTTGTGGCTTGGCTAGCGGGAGGGATTTGTGGATTTATGGCAATTCAGGATTTATCTCTATGTGGGAATCCGTACTCATGGCTGTGCATGTGGACCAATAGAAATATGAGACGGCAATGCGACATTTTTAAATACCACTTGATTCGGTAAAATAAACTTTATATTTGTTACTTTCTAGAAGAGATCATTTTAAAGCACTTAACTATTTTTCAATCTTTGCGGTCCATCTATTGAACTAACTGATTTAAAAAGTAACCATTCATTTTTCCAATTAAAAACAGATTATATGTTGATTTATTTTGTAAAACTTAACAAATACCTTTTAATAAATGCGTATTCGATCACAGTCAGTCGTAACAATGAGATTTGTGTGGCTTGTGCTCCTCGGAAGTTTTCTTGTTTGGCAAATAGTATGATGTTTTACGTAAAATTTAATTTGGAGTAAATAAAAAATAAATTATCTTGCCTTCTAGACAGAGTCCCAGTTGGTTTACAAGCTCGTAAAAGCCGAGTGCGATGGAAATCCAGTGCGGGTGCAAAACGTTTCATGTCATGTGAAGGCGATCAATTGGAACATGGCGGTGGTGAACATGGATTGTTTTGTGGCTGTGCCTATATTGAACCCAACTGTAAGTTTTGGTGTAAATTCTTAATGTACTCTGATTTGCTACCCTTAATTGCCAGATTCGGATGCAGATTTTAAAGAAGGACTATAGCAACCAGTGGAAGCCATTCCTAGTTGACGTGACATTTACCATTTGCGAGGGAAAAAAGAACTTTTATCCCTATGGCGTTATATTTTGGAAGCTGGTAAAGCGTTTTACCAATGCCAACCACTCCTGCCCATATTCGGTATTGCTGCAGCCAAAGTTATTTCCTAAGTAATTGCCGATTATTCCCCTTCTTTAGGGACACAAATTCACAAGAGGTGGATATTTGGATACTAGTCTACTTCCGCCGTTTCCTCAGGGTTTCTACAAAGTCAGTATTACATTCTCCGAAGTTAATTCTACCAACAGCGAATATTTAGGCACTGTGAATTTATTTCTGGAAGCAATGGAACAGATAAAGCGGAAAAGAAATCCAGTGTCTAAAACGAACTAATCTGAAATATTTGGGTTTTTGTTTTATCGGTTTCTATTGAAGTTATCATGAATCAATCATTAAGTTTTGCAGAAGTGATAAAATTATTTACTTTTAATTAGCATGTGTATTCATTTAGATATCAGTTTGGATTCGCTTTAAAATACTTTCATTCAAGGTCTACATCCGACAAAAATTATTAATTAATTTTTTATTAGGTTCTCAGCACGCTTTCAGCAATATATTTTCTGATTAAACATCTGTTGGGCTTATTAAGTTTAACGACACACATGATTATAATTTATTTGCTTATATATTAGGACTATCATGACTGGCTTAACTAACCGATAATTCTGAATTTAAGTTTTTTTTCATTTCTTGGTTTTGTTTGGAATAAATAGTTGAAATATAAGAAACAGAAGTGAAACCAACTCAAGATGCGTAATACATCATCATTGTTACTTGCATTACCATCAAATTAAATAACAATTTTCAGCAGCTCATTTAAGGTAGTTTTCCAGAAAATTAATTGTAACAGTTGTGCTGTAAACTATAAATTATTTCCATTTCTCACCTGCAGTAGACTTTGCTTTGGAACAAGATCCCTGAGAGATGGCAGATGCACAGGTTCCCAGCTCGTTGCAAATCTCTATCTTTTACGCATTTTTTAATGCGAATAATGATTGCCGACTGCCTGTGTGAGTATATGCTTGGCGAAAAGGGGAATTTGCATATTTGATTAATTTGTTTGGCATTTTGAGACCACTTTATATTCATGAATTTGCAAATTAGACGACGTCGTGACCGCCCTGGCATAAATGTGTTTTCGCATCGTTAAAAAGTTTGGAGAAACAGGTCTGTCAAATTGGTATTGGTAGTATGTCTTGGGCAGTTAAAAAAAAATGAAAACATGGGGAAAAAAGTGTGACTGACTTTCAGGCGATAAGTGAAGGGAAACTTTTTCGATAATTGTTGGTAATTCTTGTGTGGCTGGGAAACAAGTTTTCGCCATTTTCTTGTACACTTTCCCATCTCTGTCTGTCAAATGTGCAACAGCTGCGGGCAAAGTTAAACAAATAATAAAGTTTTTAATTATAAGCAATGGCAGGCAGGGCAGAAAGTTTATTTTCTTGATCGTATCGGAGACTTTTCCCAACTTCCTCGCCCCCGGGCAACTTTGTCATGTGTGTGCGGAAAATGGAAGTCAATGAAATTAGTACCAGCAGCACAAACACATATAGGAACAGGAAGTGTTAGTTCTGTGACATTTGCATGACCCCCGGCCACGCCACTTCCCACTTCCCACCGCCCTCCGATCACCCGCAGCGAAGTACGCAATAAAAAGTTGGCCAGAAACTTATTGGTTTGCCTGAAATAATCAAGAAGCGGAAACTCAAACAATTTGCGGTGCGACTGAAAGTGCAGCTCAAGGTTTATCCCGAAGATTCCCCCTTTTCAGCAATTGGTCATTGACTTTGGGGCTTTTCGATGTGCGTGAGTGGAAAAGTTTTGGCCCCTCAAACAATGTTGCGCAATTCCAGGTACGGTTTTCATCAGTATATTGGGGGAAATGTAAAAGTTGGCAGATCCATTTAGGAATGCCGCTGTGCACCACATCAAAAAGATGTCTTCCTATTGCAGGTAGTATATAAATCGGAACGAGTATGATCGGACTACTATATCATATAGCTTTAATAGAAACAATCGGGAAAAAAATTTTTTGTAGAGTTCTTCAGGATTTTGTGTTGCTTTATAATAGGAATTACGGTTTAAATTTGATCAAAATCGGAAAACGAGATCATCTAGCTGTCATAGGAACGATCAAATAAATAAAGTGAAAATTAAAATGTTTAAATTTTGTTATATCTGCACAGGACCTTAAAGATATACCAATTTGACATCAGATGCCTGAAAGAAAAGTTATGGATTTAAAACTGTACGTTTTTGGTCATTTTTCTGCACAGACGATTTTTTCGGAGATTATGAAAGGGGTTACATCACAAAATTTGAAAAAAATCGGCCCGAAATTACTAACCAAGTTTTAAACGCAGATTTTTAGAGAACTAAGCCACAGGACCTTAAAGATATACCACTTTGAAATTGGATGCTTGAATAAAAAGTTATGGGCTTAGAACCGTGGATTTTTTATCACATTTCAGTTATGCTATTTTTCGAAAATTAATTAAGAAGTTAAGAAGTAAAAATAAAAACCCAAACCACATTAACAAAGTGATTTAATGCTTTAATAAAAGGTACCTCTGGGAATGAAAAAAAAAATAAATTTATAGTTCTATGTAACTCAAAAATATTGTCAAAATAAAATCGCAATATTTCAAAATAATTTTAAAAATAAATAACATTGCTTTATGTACTTGACTGATCGAATTAAAACAAGAAAACAAAATTGTTTGCCAGATGTAGAACTCTTTCTTAAATTATTTATTTTCTTCCTTTTCCATCTGGGCTGCTATGTTCGCTATCCACTGGTCCCACTTTCTCTTCCACTTCTCCATGGCCTCGGCTTTGCCCTCGTCCTTCAGGGAGCTGTATCGAATGGAGTTTTTGGCGGTGCGCTTGAGAAACTTCAGATCCGCACTCATGGGTGCGATACCCAGGAAGGCCATGTAGAAGTCGTGGGAAAGAGGAGCTGCTCGCCAGAATGACGGGCTCCCAGAGGAGATCACCATGGGCACATTTTCGGCGATCAGCGTGGCCGCCGGATGATTGCGGTAGTCGGAGCCCAGTTGGAGCACCTGGTTGGACACTGGACACACTTCCAGGGCAATGTTTAGGTACTTGGCCAGCCGCATGAGGACCGGGTGCTTGGTGATCGTGTAGCCATGGCTGATCCGCTTGGTGCCCAGCACAATGGCGTCCAGCAGATTCTGGTCCACGTGCGACCCGTACCAGTTGGTCTGGCCGGCGTGGAAGTAGAAGTTGATGTGATCGGGCAGCTTGAGCAGCTCCTCCGCGAACCGGCTCAGCGGATGGCCCACGTCCTCTTGACCCACCAGATCGAAGCCAACCACAAAGTCGGGAAACTCTTTCTAAAAAGGGCATTTTATTTCATATTTTTAATGTATTTAATGTTTTTATAAATGCAGTTTTAAATTATTATAAGCTAAATGCAGCCAGTGAACCAGTTTAAATGCAAATTCATTAATTTGTTGTATGTATATTACATTAAATTAAATTATATTGACTTAAACGATGACCTCGTCCCCACTTTAGGATCAATAACATTAAATATATGGGCTAGTCTCACCATCATGTTTGTTCATTCTAAACAAACAACAACTAGCAGTTTTAAGATTTAGTTCTTTCAATTAAATAAATCCAAATATTTAAATCAAATAGGAACTATTTTCAATATTACATTTCAATATTACATTTTTCACATTAAATTTAATTTGTAATATTAAGCCATGAAATTTAATATGCATTGTATTTAATATTATGATCTCAGATTTAATTGAAATACTTCATATACAATTTTAAGTTCAATAGTCAGATATCTATTTTTATAATTCCATATTTACCCACAGTGTGGCTATCAGTGCTCTCAGGTACAACTTACATTCAGTTCAGTGCACTCCTTGACGTATTGACCCACCACTTCCGGTTGCACATGCCGAAGTGGGGCATATATCAGCTTGGAATCGATGAATCCCGGGTTCTCTTTCTTGAATCGCTCCAGAGTGTCCTTGTAGATCTGCACCGTTTGCCGCTTCGGCAGCAGACTGCCATCGAGGCAGTAGAGCTGAGGGAGCACCGTTCTCACCTCCAAATACTGCACCCCGTCTGCGTAGAACTGCTTGAGGGCGTTGTAAAAGTAGTCACCCCACAGGGGGGCGTACTGTAGCAGTCCGTCCAACAGGTCGAAGATGCCCGTTATGTGGCGCCAGGCGTGGGCGTTGGTCGTGAAGCTGGCCAGTGGGTACATGCTGAACCGCACCAGCAGGTGCTTCCTCAGGTTCTCCTCGCCACGCAACTCGCGCAGCTTTTCCATGGGCTGCCACTCGCCGCCCGCGTGTTGCAAGTCCTTGGGCTTTGCCTTGGCGAATCGGAACGCCTCCACACGGCAGCCGTTTTGGGTGGTGCAGACCCAAAGGTTCTCCCGGTAGGTCAGCTCGATCACCGACCTCGAGCTGCACATGGAAGTGTCGTGCACCTTGAGTGCCGCCCCCTTGGGCATTTTGCTCAGAATGTGGAAGAGTGGCGACTTCCGCACCGTGTGCAGCACCTGGAAGATGTGGTGACCCGGCGCGAACTTCGAGGGGTCCATGATGCCCTTCTCGTACTCCCGTGTCTTCTCGCACATGATCAGCTCGTTGGCCGCGTGCTCTGCCAGGGTCAATTGGATATCATTGCCCACTCCGGAGTAGCGCTCGAAGGAGTTGACGATCTCGCGCAGGATGCGATAGTCCTCGGGCGTACTCTGGCGCAGATTGGTGGAGCCAAGCATTTCAAGCACTGTCATTTCATCGGGGTTTTGGTGCATTAGGAGGGCGGCTGTGGGCGTGGCACGCCTTATGAGGCCACCAAGGCGCCACCTCTGGCCCAACAGCATCGCCTTCACCCCTGACTTTCTTTATTTTAGAAAAGAAAAAGAAAAAATAATATTTTACATTTTTTTTTGGAATTTGGAAAGCAAGACAGTAAAATCAAGAAAGAAAAACGTTAAAGAGGCTAAAGAATATTTCAAATTCTATGACGTTCTAATTTAATTCAAATTTTAAATTTTAAAATTTGTTAGATTATGAACTAAAATTTAAATGTGTGCAATTTGCGAATCACACAAAAGCGTTTAAATGTTTTCTTAAGTTGCAACTAAAACAGAACTATGAAGTTAATTTAGAATTACCAAAAAGCTTTTGAAATTTTTTTTCGTTTATCTGTGCAATTCTACAAGAAATTAATTAAAAATATTTTATTATTTTTAGACTTTACATTATTATTACAGACTTTTTAACTAGTTTTCTTACTGTATACTTTTAAAACTCTTATAAATTGTATTTCAA